ATATACATATACATATACCATTACATACAAATTTAGCGCTTTATTACAAGTAAAGATTATGATATTTCACTTGGGTTGGAATGTTCATTTGGAGAACTAATGGTTGTAATCTGATAACCATCATTATTTTCTATATCGATATGAGTCGAAATTTATTATACATGATGCGGTACCACTTATGGCTTCTAGCTGATGAACCCAACTGCGTCAGTTGTTATCAATTTGATCTTGTTTATTCGCACTCGGTAGCTAATAACCTCAGATATTATGTTACCAACACTCTTATCAGTTCACAGTGTTTATATATAGTATAGATTAAGTTTTGAAAAGTTTAAGGTTGTCAGATAAGTTTGTGCCTCAAAAGCTTAATTGACAGCTTAAGTTCGAATTGCAAGAAAAAGGGATATGCTTTATTGGGGTTTATTGACTTGATGATTACAGAAATCGTATCCACTCTGCATAAGAAGTTCAAACTGTAGATTAGTGTAGGCATGTGATAAAAGGTCAAAATCGGAGATCTTTCGGAAAAAAGAAGAATAACTTTAGTATAAAAGGAGTAATTCTAATGGATGTGATTTTCGTATTCAGGATGACAATTAACCCTGCTAAATTACTTTTCGGCCAAAACAGTGATTTTCATCCTGAAGTGTATACCTCACGTAATTATACAGCAAAAGCTATCATAGAGAGGATGCTATAGTAGTCAGCACTATCAGTTCAGAAGTTGCCGTTGTAGAAGATTCTGGGCTCCTCGACGTCAGAAACGTTGTCGGTTAAGCGTTTTTCGGGCTTTTATAGATAAATTTCATATAGTAAATTAATTGCCACTTTTGATTGCAAAAGCGAAGTCATTGGGACAAGAAAAATACACCTTCTAGAGGGAGACTTTTACTCTTATTTGACTCATAAATGTTGTTGAAACCTTCGGTTCATTAGGATTATGAGTCAAAAAGACAGCTCAAACATATCCAACGATTGCACATGGTCATGGTCACTTTTGTGACATTTAATGTAAATGTTTATGTTTGCATGTGACTTTATGATATCTCACAGTGCAACAAATATTTTATTGAGCTAATCGAATTTATAACCAGGCTTTGCTTTACGGCACAGGACTACCGTATTGCTGGCACAAGCGGGTCCGACTAGCATGTTTTCTTTGCCACCGAATCCAGCTGCAGATTTTTCGTTCTTGATGTCGACTTTTCCTAAAATCTGTTTGCCTTCGATAGTTATAACGCCAACTGAGATGTCGCCTTTGGCATTGTTGACATGCACCGGGATCCACTCCTTATCTTTCTC